GTTAAACAAGTAATATAGTGATAAAATAGAGTATCGTTCTCATAGAGAATTTGTTTTAATTATTAATTGTTAGATACTCCTCTTGTTACACCTTAATTTAATTTGAACGAATTTAAGAATGTAGAAAATTAAAAAACTAAAACTAAACTAAGCTGAAATAAAACTTGTAAATAAACTAATTAAAATCAATATATCAAAAGCCTAAAACCACAATATGCCCTCAGTGTTTCATCTGAATTTCTTTTATTCTTCTTTCACTTATTAGATAAGTTTGAGTTATTAACCTAAAGCTCTAAATCTTTTGTAAGTCTTTTTCAATGTTTTTATAAAATTATCTAACTTAACTAATATACTATATTCCTATGCAAATTGAAATTAAAAAAGACTCATTAAGTACCAACTTTAATCTTGGTTACATATGGCTTGTAAGTATATTCCTACCTTACATGCAAATCAAATCAATCATCTTATGCAATTGATATTGATCATATGCTATTTCAACCGGGCCTACACTAAACTCCCTCTTCTAGTTCTACTTAGGTTTCCAAATCAATCTAATTCATGATCAAGTAATTAGAGGCATTAAGAACAAGATTGAAATAAACAATTCAAACATTATCAATCATAAGCAAGAAAGAATATTAAAATCCTAGACTACGTATTGGGTTCAATTACGATTCTAGATTAAAAACTTAGTTAACCATAATGTCTAAAAATATAATCCAAAAAAGAGTAAACATCAAATCTAAACAAGAAAGTAAAAAGAAAACGAAAGAAGAAAAAAAAAACTCTAATGATTTGACGATTGACTATCCACAATTCTTCTTTTAATTCCCCACTTTCTTCCTAGCTTCAATGCTTTTTTTTTTTAAGAAAACTCTTGCTTAATGGATGTTTAATTGCTGCCTAATTGATGCTTTAAAAGTGCTCTTCAAAGGTGTTTAATAGGGCTTAAGGCTATAGCAACATAGAAGTCTAAAAGCACAAGGAGTTTTATCACTTTTTAGGCTTAAATTTTGATTTTTTAGCTATTCTCGTTGGGGGTAGTGGCCATGGGCTTTAGGAGCCACAACTTCGAGTGTCCTGGGTCCAAAATGTGATTTCTAATAGGGGGTCGTGGCCTTAAAGACCTCTCTTGATTTTTCATGTTTTGTTACACTATTTCGATTTTGACATGATTTTTTATCTCTTTTTATGCTGAACTGAATAAAGTGGTAAATATAGAAGTTGTAGCTCTACCTTTTATCTTTCCAATAGTCTAGGATTCACATCATTTGGGATCCCGTAGCGGGAAATATACTTGAAATACAACAACATTTGTAGTGAAGGTCTACACTTAAAATGATATCTCCTACTTCCATTAAAAGTCCTTCAAAGCATACCTATAAAAGCACAATTTAATCAATAACAGCTTTCCTTAAGCAATTTAATATCTAACTTAGCCTAAAATAATCTAAGTTTAATTGACCTAATATAATTAACTATAATTAAATAAATAACTAAAAACACCGTTCCATTGTCTTATCCTGTTTTATCTAGTTTGTAGTGTCCCATTTTGTTGTTCATAGACATGGGCACCACTATTTTCATATGTAATGAAAGGTTACAAAGTTACAATGTGATTATGTGAAATAATAGTGTAATTCTAGGATATAATGAATGGAATATAAAATATGTGTTTTAACTTATAAATTTTGAATTTGTACATTTGAGTAGATATAAATTTCATGCCAAATATATACGAGTTTGTAGGTTTGTATGGGCCTCGTGGGCTATGTCCATTAGGCCTTTGCACTTGTCACAACCCAGTAACGGAACAAGACAAAAACCTTATAAAGTGATTTTTTTTTACTATAATAAATTTATTTGGTGACATAAATAGAGATATAATGACTTAATATCTCATAAGGTTATGTTACACATGAGTAGGTATGATTTTTAAGCATGATACCCCATGCTCATTCAGTTAATAATTAAATAAATCATACTATAAAGTTTGTGTGGGTAATATAAAGCAATATCCTATTATCGGATAAGTTCCATTATGCTAATTAATTCATAGCCACTAAAGTGGCCAATTGGTCAATATTATAAAAATATTGTTTCCATATGTTTCAGAGATGTCTTTGGTTTAAGTGTGTATTTTCATTCACCTAAAGGTGATATTTGTATATTAAAAATTAAAAGGTAGCACATAATAGCATGTATGTGAGACTTAACTAGTTCTAGTAATTTATTAATCTAAAAGTGGTAAGTTTCAAAGGCTGAGTTTTATTCTCATTATCCCTTTTTTATGTGAAAGGGCACTTAATTGTATGCCAAGCATTTAGTCCAAAGATTTTTACATGACGATGTGCTTAGACTCTTCGTTTATACTTGTAAACACCTCATTTTTAGGTCTTTTTAATGAACTTTAAAATGATTCGGATTAAGTTTAGTTTGATTTATTTTTTCAAAGATTTTTGGGCTCATTTTATTTGGGCTTGTTTTAATTCAAGCTTAAAACTTAATTTGCTCAATGAACTTGAAGTCCAATTTATTGATTAGGTTGAAGGTCTGATTTATTAATTGTGTTTCATAGGCCATTTGAGTTAGTTAGTAGGTCTATATCGATAAAAAATAATAATAAAACAAAGTATAGTACTCAAATAAATCTCTAAATTGTTTTAAAAAATTCAAATAAGTTTTTATTATTTTATTACATTCAATGAAACCCTTATATTTTAATTTTAGATCAAATAAGCCTTTACAACTAATGGTTGACTAATTGTTATTATTCAAAATGTCACTTATCAATTTATATCCATATGACACTGATATAACATTGATGTGGAGGGCAAAAAATGTCACATGGTCACACTATCATACCAAATTAACATGTCACGTCATCATTAATTATTGATGTGTCATCATGTTATATCATCGTTAATAATGATATGTTAGCATTCTATATCAGTACAAGGCAACATAGAATGACAAATGATATTTTGACTAAGTCAATTATTAGTCACAAAAACTTGTTTGACTCAAAATAAAAATATAAAAACTTATTTGGGTCAAAATAAAAATATAATGGCTTGATTAAATGCAATAAAAGTATAACGATTTATTTGAATTTTCTTGAATAATTGAAGAGCTTTTTTGGATATTATACCTATAAAATAATAACAAATGAAGTACAAAAAATGAAAAAAAAAAAAGTGCTCTCCATTGAGATATTGATTGGATTAAACTTATAAATTAGAAAAGTGATGTGGCGTTGGCCATTCAGAAAATAGACATAGGTCTAGCTATGAATATAGATAAACTTATACAGCATAGTATTGGAAGTTCTGAGAAAGAGAGAAAAGCCTTTGAGGCGTGAGAGGGATCTAATAAATTTTGTCTCCTTATTATATTAAGAGGTCAATTTTTGTGCATCTATAAAGTAGACTTCCTGATACCACTGAAACAAAATAGTTCTTAACTGTAGTAACACAGAGGCATGTATTGTCAAAAACTACGAAAATGGTACTTTTTTGAAAAGACTTTATTTCATGAGTTATAATAGGATAAGAAGAGTTCATAAATTCATCTTTAAAATGGTCCATGAAATCTAACATCCTAAAAAATTCCATGATAAAACGAAAAAATCTGATCAATTTGTTATTGTAAGGGATCCTCATGTTGTCATCGAGAAGGAATACAAATGTTTTTCTTTTGCAAGAAAAAAAATATATAAAAAACAGGATTATCTCGTTAAACAATAAATCATTGTAAAATTATTCTAGGTGCTACTTACAAAGAGAATGTAGCACCTCCATATTCCTGTAACCCTATTTAAGAACAAAAATCACTTCATGGAGTTCATATCAATAAGATTAAGTGATATGTGTGATTATAATTGATGTTATATCTTTGTAGTTATAGTTACTACTATTTTTATATATCACAAAATTTTATTAGACAAAATGAAGTTTGGAATAGTTTTAAGATTATTATTTTTTTTTAAATTTGGGTTTGTAAAGTTTTCAATTGTCTTAGCATGTTAGTCGATTTTAAAAAATTTGTTTCTCAAAATTTAAATTTAAATTATGTAGCCTATGTAAGAGATTATTAGATTTTCTAGTAAACTCAAAGTGTAAACTTACCTTACTTATTTTTGTATTTATTAAAATCAAGTTATGTTAATTTGATCTGGATTATATAATAATATTATAATTCATAATATAATCTAATAAAGTGAGTTAGATTCTAACTTATATGTAGGTTTAACAGTGTAGATTTGTGAAGAAAACCTTAACTTGTATGATGGGTCTAAAGCTTCATTATATAAAGATATAACCATATCTCCTCTTGTCCATAGAAAATATTGAGAATTTCATACGTTATAGATTTTAGGATTAAAGAGAAGGAAGTTCCTACAGTACTAAATCGCAATAGTTAATTTTGCAAATATTATTTCTGCTATCAAATTATGAATCAAGAATTAAATATGTTTTTGTATTCTAAATTCCTATTACGGTAAGTCTTGAATTAATATAAATTAATTATATATAAAGTTTAATATATTATAATCTGATAATTTTTACATAATTAAGGTAATAAGTTAATTTTATCTTGTGCTTTTAAAAGGAAAAAAAGAGAAAATATTGAAATTCTCATTAAAAAAATGAGGAAATAATTTTTTAAAACGAAAATAATTTTAAGATATTTGGCAAAGAAAAAAAAAACATTTCCTTTTCAAAATGTCAATTACAAAAAATAAACACACACGTGTTCAACTTTTGCACAACTTGTTTTTATTTTTTTATTTCTCTATTTCTGTTGCTAAATAAAATGCTTTTCTTTTTGTTTTTGTGAAAACAGTCTTGGATTCTTCTTTCCTCAGGAACTCAAGCACGCAACGCAACAGATCTCATCACCACAAAAAATTCAGTAAGATTCATGTGGGCCCGCACCCAGCAGATTCCCACCAGCAAAAAAATAACGGTCAACAATAAAGGAAACCCCTTCCCTCGCCTTCTTCAGCTCCTTAAAAACTTGAACATTTACTCAGAATCCAAACATCATTTTTTTTTTTAATTTCTTTCATTGTAGCTGTAAAAGAAAAATGGAACCTCTCTGCTCAAATTTTGATCTCCTGAAATCCTCAAGACCCACTTCGATTCCACTTTTTTCAAATCGATTGTCGTGCTTAAATCGTGGCATTGTAAAAAAATTAAGTGTGTCATTGCCTTGTGCTTCATATAATCATGGCCCTAACCAGCATCAAGCGGTTAAGACAGAGGCTCCTTTGCCACAATCCAACGGTCCTGATTTGATCAAGTCAATAACGAAAGGGTTTGTTGGTTTTGCTGCGGCGGCCACGGCTCTGGCCTCCGTTTGTTCTGATTCTCCAGCTTTTGCGGGGTCCCTAACCGTCGCTTTTCCTGTTTCCCGCACTGAAGAGGTGATTCATTTGTAGTTTTTTTGTTTTAGATATTGTACACTTTGAATTGGGTTATGACTGTTGAAGTCAAATGTCTGAGTATAGAAAGGTTTGTCTGCTAGGTGAATACAGTGCAAAGAACTCTTGTGGAAGCTTGGGGGTTGATAAGGGAAACTTTTGTTGACCCAACATATAATCATCAAGGTAATTCGAATGTTTTGAGTTTTTCATTCTTTTTATGTAAATGAGGAATTTCCATGTCTATCTCCAATAAGAAGTTATATGTACAATCCCTTTTACTGCTTGCTTTTGTTTGTTTCCAGAAGCAAAAAGCAAAAAGTATGTTTTGGATGCAGAAGCAAGCAATCCTTTTTTTGAAGAATTAAGCATTAACAATTTACTATTCTAATGGCAGAATTAATGGTTCTGCTTTTATGTAAGAATATATGTTATATTTGGTACCATATGTTAGTCAATTGTCCATTTTTAATCAATTATGGTTTTAGAAATGCTTTACTGTCCAAGTTGTATTAGAATTAAACACGAGAAGGAAATGACCTTGAAGTTTGGATCTAATAATGTCACCTTCCATTGTGTCTGTCAAAGTGTTCAGGTGCCTTGAACAGTTAAAAGTCCTGAGATGGAATTCTTAGGCCTGCAAATTCCTTATGGATAAGTAGGTTGTCATAAAGGGTTGGGGAAGGGGAGGAATATATACGAAAGTACTATGCTTATTTTGTCCCTTCCTTTGGTTGTTTAGGAACCAAGGAATTTTGTATAGTGAGTAAACGAATTCTTGAGAGTTATTGTGTTGCAGACTGGGATTTGAAGCTGCAGCAAACAATGGTGGAAATGTTTCCCTTGAAGTCAGCTGATGCAGCATATGGTAAAATCAGAGGAATGCTTTCAACTCTTGGGGATCCCTTCACTCGGATTGTCAGTCCAAAGGTATTACAATCAGCTTCCTTTGGTACTTCAGTTTAGCTAGCATAGTTTTATACAGTAGTACACAAAAATACAAGGAATATGATGCGTGATTCAGTTTGCTGTCATTTCATCCTGGCTGCTCCCAAGGATACTCAATCTTTGAGATGACATTATTTTACTGATTGATGAATATATTTCATGGGATTAGTATAGTGCTCTATCTAATGACTATTTTTTCACTTTTAGGAGTACCAAAGTTTTAGAATTGGAAGTGATGGAAATTTGCAAGGAGTTGGCCTATTCATAAGTGTTGAACCAAAAACTGGTCATTTGGTTAGTAACACAAATTTAATTGTTTTCATCATTCTTATTACCTGTGCCAGATTGACTTATGGACTCTCCTTAGATATAACTTCTCCTTTCCTAATAAAATTTTCTTCTTTACCTATGTTAGATCAAAGCTTAAATTGTTCTCTTTCTGGAGGAGTTCTAAAAAATTTAGGGCTTTCCAGTGACAAGCAATTTAAATTTGTTTAGTTCATTAATATAATTCATTGGAGATGGATTGCTTTGCTTCAGGATTAATGGAAATTGATTACTATGAATTTCTTTTCAGCGACTTTTCAATTTTCATTCCAACTGTTCATGTGGCCAAACAATGAAAGATTCTCTTTACAGTATTATGTTTTTTTTTTTTTGCTTCATTATTTGTATTCTGCGGTTGAAATTTGATATTCAATCATGTGTCTCCCAAAATGTTTCATATTTGGCATTAATCATAAATGATGCATTGCCATTATAATTTTATTTAAACTATGCAGGTTGTTTTGTCTTGTGTAGACGGTAGCCCAGCTGCTCGTGCTGGTATACAAGAGGGAGATGAGTTGATTGAAATTAATGGTACATAAGTTATTAAGCTTCTACCTTTCCTCTTCCAGGGTTACAGCGTATAATTTTATTTAATATATTGTGACTAAATGTATTTAGGACTTGGTCCATTGAGCTGTTTGTTTTATCATTTCAAATCCTGAATTAAATCCAGTCTATCTTTCTTTCTTGAAGACATGATTTATGAGTGCAAAGTCTCTTCCTTTCCAAATGTTGTCTTTGCATTCAAAACTTAACTCTCTTAACTTTATATGCTGTTTTTGCGACTTCAGGGCAGAGACTTGATGGTGTCGATAGTGAAGCAGCAGCCCTAAGGCTCAGAGGCCAAGCTGGAACAACGGTTACAGTAAAGCTCCACTTTGTAATTATCTATTCTCATTCTCTGCAATGTAAATAAAGATTAAGTTATCTTGAGTGACCTGCATAAACCATGATCTTTCTTACCTTGACAGGACATGCAGTGATTTGAGATCATGCTCTTTTATTTTCATTGCATTCAGCTCATATACAGACATGACCTGTGCATCCAATTAAAATAATGAGTGAAATAAAGAGAGTTGGAATGTTCTATCCTTCCCTTTGTCATGAACTATTAGTCATAACCTCTTTGCACTCATAGTGGATCTAATGCATGCTTCTTCAGAAATCTGGTCCTATGAATACTCTAAGCACGTGTAAGATGGCAATTTACCACTCCTTTACTTGGTTGAACCTAACTGCCTTCCTTATGTCCCAAAAACATGCAATCTAGCACTGTGAAAGTGCCATAGATGTTTGTATCTGTTTTTCATTATCCCAGTCTTATGTTTCATTTAACTTTGAATTTTTTGTATAACTTTTGCTAGCCAAAGAATTACCAAAAATGCTTAAAGTAACAAATCCGATGTTCTTTTCTCCAGGGAAAAGATTCAGGAAGTGGTTCTTCTATCAAGGAGGTAATAAACCATTCATTATGCAGGCAATACTGTGGTGTTTATCAAGGCTCCATTTGGTTGTTGCTTTTGCTGCTATATATATATGTATGTATGTATGCATGCATGTATGTATGTATGTATGTACAAACGCACGCATACATGATTAAAAATGGCTAACCAATCTTGTTTACTTTTGTATTCAAATGTCTTCATGCTTTTTGCTTCTAGAAGCAAAACTTAAGGCTTCGTTTGGTTTATGCTTTTACTAAGCACAAGTGATTATTGCATGGAGCCTCTTGCCTATTGAAATTTTACTGCTATTGATTGGCTTCTTAACCTTTAGAAAAGAAGGTTGAAATTTTCAATAATAGAGCTGTGAAATTTATGCATACACAACCAGATTATAAATATCATAGAATTGTTTTATACTTTTTGATTAGTTAATCTTGAAACATGGCTCTTCTGCTTGAAGGTCAAACTACCTCGTGAGTACATTAGGCTTTCACCAATATCCAGTACTGTGATCCCTCATAGAACCCTAGATGGGCGCCTAACAAAAACTGGTTATGTGAAGCTGTCAACATTCTCACAGGTAGTAATCCATTAACTAATTTTTTGTGCATGCAAAAAACTTTGTGAAAGAAATGGTCCATAATCATGAATTGTGATTGTCTATTTTACTAGCGATGAGTTAATAAGAACATTCCCTTTCCTCTTTGACAGAGTGCTGCTACTGATATGAAGAATACAATTCATGATATGGAGAGCCAGGGTGTACATTCATACATACTGGATTTGCGGAACAACCCAGTTATTTTTCACTCCTATTTTTGTTTATTGAAGATTTTTTTGAGGGAATTTCTCTCCTTAAATTTTCTCTCAAATCTTTGTGCAGGGAGGTCTAGTTAAAGCTGGACTTGATGTTGCCCAGATATGGCTAGAAGGGAATGAGACTCTTGTGAACACAATTGATCGTGATGGGCAATTGTCACCCATCAACATGGTGAATGGCCATGCTGTAACGCATGATCCTCTCATTGTTCTTGTGAGTGTCAATGCTTGACATTTAAAATTTTCCTAACAGGAACCCCCTAGTTAATTCATCTTTTTCTGTTCTTTCTTTCGGTGTGTGTGTGCGTGCGCGCGCGCGCGTGTGAATGTGCACATAAGTGCTCTGAAGAGTATATTGTTTCTGGTCATATAATTCATGTTATTGCTGGAGCACTGGTGCAACTAGTCTTGGTATAATGCAAACCTTATCAGATCTTGCATCCATTATTGATTTTACATAGTTGAACAAATCAAAAAATTCCTCTATTTGTGATCTACTGCAATTGAAGGTGGAAATTGTAACCTAGTCCAGGTTAGCATCTCTGAAAATGGAAAGGTTTTTAAACAATTCATTTATTAGTAGACAGGTCAGCTGGAACATGATAAATAGTTGTGATGTGTAGCTTGCCTGTTCAGTCAGCCTAAATCAAACTAGTTTATCTTTTTCCTTAATTTAAAGATTTAACTTTGTAATGTTTTGTAACAAAGATTAGAAATAAATTGAGGGTGGGTAAAATTCTACACAATATGAATTTGACTTATCTGTTAAGAGTGAGGATTGAGTTTGACAGATGCTTAAAAGCATCACAATGTCTATGACTCATACCTGCATAGCATACCACATCGATCTTCTCCAAATTGATATCCTTTTAGAATGTTTTGCTAATTTTTGGTAGATTGTTGCACTCTCCTGGAAATTTCCTGCTGAATCTTGGAAATTTGTAGGAAAATTCTGAATGTCTTTTGCAATTGTTATATTTTTACTCTCAATTATGCCTTGAAAGTTCTTAACAGCAACTTCTATCTTTATTATTTGTAAAAGGTGAATGAGGGAAGTGCAAGTGCTAGTGAGATTTTGGCAGGTGCGCTACATGACAATGGTCGGGCTATCCTTGTGGGCCACAAAACTTTTGGCAAAGGGAAAATTCAGGTATGTTTAATTTTCAATTGTTAAAAGTAATTCATCTTTCCGTTGCTCATCTCATTACTCAGGACATTGGTTAAAACTGGTGGTTAACTATTCCAAAAGGATTGCACTCAATTGAAACTTGGGAGTACTGTCAATGCGTGTGATTAAATTCATTTTGGCAGCATAACCCCTGTTCTTGAATGGCTGACAATATAACCCCTTTGTTGAAGTCTTGAATGACTAGTTTTAAACCTACAAGTGATAGATCCTATTCCAATTAAGTTTTCTAAGAGTACTTGAATGTTATTCATTACTGAACTTGGCCTCTAACTCTGTCAACTCTAGATGAACCCTTAATTGTTCAAAGCTTATTTGGCATTGTTTCTGAATGAGTTTTGCTGCAGAGTGTGACAGAACTGCATGACGGATCTGCTCTCTTTGTTACGGTTGCAAAGTATTTATCACCTGCTCTTCATGACATAGATCAGGTTGGCATAATGCCTGATGTTCAATGCACAACTGACATGCTTACATCACCCAAGGGAACATTGATGGAGAAAAGCTCAGTTTCATCTCTGGAAGCTGATTCTTGCATCATGGTAGCAGAGCATGAGTTGGACATTCAAGAGTCCAAAGGAACAGCTTCTTGAAATGCATAATTGTGCAGGAATCAAACTTTTAGGTCCTAGAAACAAGATGTATATATCCCAAAGGAAGAAAATAAACTTTATGTTGTAATCACCTTGTACATTTGATTGTAACTTGTATATTGGTACGACTTAGATTAAACATTGCACTGCTCCTGCGACTTGCATGAGCCAGGCCCATATGCTGGGGAAAGTAGCAAAATCTAGGCAGATGATTTGTATGCATAATTAACCACACATTAATGGGGAAAGAAGTCGTTTTCATTTTTTCATTGTTCTTTGTTTTTAACTTGCAAGCAGTTCTATCAATTCGGCTGCATATGCTGGGGTTCATCACTACATCTATTCATTCCAGCGGTATATATTGGGGTATGATTGGAATGTCTTTACTAATGGGAGAATCAGGGATGGGTTATTGTGACCATGGTGTAAATAGTGGAAGAGAGGATCCCTTAGGGCATTGCACTTGCCCATGCTAGCATATCAACAGATGCCCTGATTTTGTCTGAAAGAAAGATAAAAGGACATCTAGCTACAGCTTCTGATAGATAGTACAATCCTTAAAGGAGAGGCACGTTAGCGAGGAAATCATTATTTTCCTCAGGATTCCTCTAGATAGAGATCTGTCGTAATTAGCCATGGCAATAGGAATTATGTCACTATCTAACTGGAATCCTATTCCACAACTTGCTCAGCCAATACTTCCTGCCAAGCTTCGCGTCTATTATTTGTCATTCCTCATACCTTTGCTGTAATTGCTCTGTGATGACAATAACGCCACCAAATAACAGGGGATAAACACCTGCAACCATTGCATAGAGCAAGCTGAGTGCTCAACATCCAGCCTATTTTTTCAGTCAAATTCATAGAACTTTTCTAAAACCATCCTTTTGCAAGAGAGAATGATATGGTTGCTCTTACTCCTCATGGCAGTGATAGAGCATATAAGCTTACTACAACTGCAGTGTTCCCGTGTGGTGTACATGGAAACATATCCCAATTGTATAATTTTATTCGTTACTTTCATCCTACAGCCAACTCGAGCGCTGCTGCGTCTTAGCTGCATGAGAACATAAATTTTAAGCTCCTGCAACTTAGAGGCAGAGAAAACACACCCAATGTTAGCCCCCATTTTCTACTTCCACATCTGTTGATTGTGTGATTCCACCATGATCAGAGTTCACTACCTTCATTTTCTGTGGCAATCAAAAGTTCAGAACACACGATAAAGAAGATTATCAGTAACAAAACATTCTGTGTGGCAGATGCTTCTGAAGATAAAATAAGGGAAGAGATAAAGGCTACTGTATATGGCCACTGTTTAGTTGGAAATGGCATTGATATAGCAAAAACAATATACAAAATAAAGTCTTTCTCGCTTGAAAGAACTTGTTAAGTAGCAAATATCCGATCACTAAAAATATCTTAGACAACAAATATAATTATGAATGCACAAAATAAAATCACAAGAAAATACATGATTTTTTAACGTGGAAAGTTGCAAGTTGATAATAAATACACATGTGACCATATTGTTGATACATCGATTAAAACATAAAATATTTGAATGGTCCACATAATGGATGTATAGGTCTATATATATCACACTGAATATGTTCCAAAAATGTAATGGATCCAATCCAAACTTTAACCAGTGATGGTCTTATAATTAATTTACCTTGAAAGCATGTAACACATGAGAATTCATTAAATGAAAAAATCTTTTAGGCTTTCAATGGATGACCATATGAATTTTTAATAATTTTCACATCATTATTGATTTGGGATGACCTAACTAATCATGCCAAATATTAAAATTATTAGTAAACTTCTAGTTTACTATAGCATAAGTTTTAATCACTTTAATTTTTGTGTAGTACATTCCAAAGGATAAAACAGGTAAGTTTTTCAATACACACTTTTTACCTAATATAAAAGATGTAATGTAAAGGTATTCAGTATCTTTTTCATTCGTTGTCTCAATATAATATCCATTTAAACAAATATCTTTAAAACTTAATAAGTTTTTTTGAGACTTAGTAGAAAATAATACATCTTTTGTTATAAACTTTATTCCTCCAAGTAGTAAAATATTGAGTTTTCTGAAGCTTTTAATTAATCTTGTACTACCAAATATGGTATTGACATTAGCTTTTTCTACTGTCAAGTGAAAAAAATATTTCTTATCTTTAAATATAGTATGTGTTGTAATACTATCTATTAGACATATGTCTTCATCATTGATTTTAGATCTAACTAGATGAATGTCCCTATTTTCCTCAAGAAAATAAAATATATATAGTAAGAAACTTACATAAAAGAACATTAAATATAAACTTTGTTATTAAAACACAAAAAAAAATCTTCTTAATAGACATATTAAAACCCATTAACTTCTTAATAGAGTTATATTAAACCTACCGAGTTTTTAATAAAGTTGTACTAAAACACGTCATCAAATAATTTAAAATTTTCATTATCAAGATTTTCATCACCAATCAAATAATCAATTAGTTCTTTAAGATGGGCAAAAAAATCAACAACATCCAAGTGTATTATATCAACTTGGCTATCATCTTCAACAAAATTTGTTTTGATATTTTTTCCGTTATCTTTTAGTGATGCTTGATAAAGTTTAACAAGATGTTTTTGCATATGATAGGTGCATGACCAATGGCCTTTCATGACACATCGATAACAAATATTTTCTATATTCTTTTCACTTTATCTATCTTTGTCTTTTTCTTGTATCTCTTTACTGTTCATCCACTTCTAACGAGTCTTTTTATTATCACAATAATAATTTGTATAACTATCACGATTGCGATAATTATGATAACCTCTTCCACATCCACAGTTATGACCATGATTATGACCACGACCATGATCAAAATTTCTAAATGATGTTGCATTCTCTTCAAGAAATGGAGCATATCCAGTTGGGTGAAATTAATGATTTTTATCAATAGCTCGTTATTTTCCTCAACCACAACAAGACATGAAATTAGTTCAGAGTATATCTTAAACCTTTTTCACGATATTGCTACTGCAAGAGCACATTTGAGGTGTGAAAAGTAAAGAATGTTTTTTCTAATAAATCATCATAAGTCACCTTTTCTCTACCCAATTTTAGTTTAAAACTAATTCTATATAATGCTGAGTTATACTCACTTACAGTTTTTAAATCTTGTAATCGCAGATGCATCCAATCATATTTTTGACAAAATATAGAGACTTGATCCAACACAACAAAAGAATAAAATTATATTTGGATTTTTTTCAATAATTTAAGAGCTTTTTTGAGTTTTATGCCAAGAATAATTAACAATAGATAAAATTTTGTTGATAATTAGCAAAGATATTTTGTTGGAACTGCCTTATCGGTGGAATTTTTTGTCCATAATTATAGTCCTTTCCAAAGAATTGATGTTAACATAATAAAAAATATTGTCGCTTATTCCAATGGAATTTTTTCATTAAAAAATTTTGATTGATTTTCAATAACAAGCAGTGGCGTCGACTTTTTCAAAGATGAAGTTTCCAATAGAATGTTCCAACATTAAAATTCGGTTGAAAAAACCGTGGATAAAGAAAGGATTGACTAATAGATGAGATTGAATTAATTACATGATGTTGGAACATCACTCTTATCCATCTCAGATTTGCACTCATACTTAAAGATGAAAACGAAAATTCAGGTCCCATGAAAACAGTTTTTTTTTTAAATGATAAACTATCTATTTATTCTTCAGCACATGTGACGACCATGTACTGGATTATTATCGATTATTGTCTACAGAAGACTTATTTATTAAACAAGTAGTAAGCATACATAAAGTGATTTAATCTAAACCCTTATGGACTGTAGCTAGATTACTGGTCGCACGCTCAAACCCAAATGAATCTAGCTTTCTTCAAATGGATTAAATTGTGTGACAGGATAACACACAAAGGGGCTTGCCATTGCCAAAGTAGCGGCAAACCCCGATGCCTCTCTCATATCAACCATTTCTCCACCTTTGACTTTCCAATCAAAGCACTGAACCAAGGCTCCAACCGTTGCATGTGCGTTTGCCAAGGCAAGCGATGCTCCAGGACATACACGCCGCCCACTACCAAATGGGAGGTAGTCGAAATTCTGTCCTTTCATTTCCATTAGCTCCTTGTTTGAGTTTAGATTGGTGTTGCCCATAAACCTGTCTGGAATGAATTCATCTGGATTATTCCATGAATTTGGGTCCCGCATGATGGAGTAAAGGTTGAGAATGATCCGACTCTTGGACTTCAAATAAAAGCCGTCGATCTGGCAGTCTTCGTTGCTTTGTCTGAGGAGAGTAACTGATGGAGGATGTAGCCTTAGGGTTTCTTTCACAATAGCTTGTAGGTAAGGGAGATTTTGCACGTCTGATTCTTCGATCAATCTGCCAGGCCCGACCACTGAAGATATTTCCTGTCTCAGTTTCTTGAAAACTAGTGGATGGTTGATGAGCTCTCCCATGGCCCATTTAACTGCTATTGATGATGTTTCAGTTCCGGCCATAAACATGTCCTGTCAGATTCACAAATTTTAATTAATAATCTACTTCACCTGTCATTAGATAAATTATTGTGGCTGCTATAATTAATTATGGTTTTGCAAAAGATTTTCCAAAATTAAGTATATTTGATTTTTAAATACTGGAAAAGCTTGACTTAGTCTAAGGGGAGGATTTCAAATAATATATAATTAGTAGGTATGTGTTGAGACTTACCCTCTTGGATATCGTTATTCTACCAATATTTAAAAAGAACTTCAGAGAAACAACAAAAGAATAATTAAGAAACACATCCACGAGGGAAAAGCCGAAAAAAGAAAGCAGGATTAACATGGTTCAAGCCTGAATTTCAAGGAATTATTACTTACTAGGAAGAAGGCCTTGATGTCCTTTCGGCTCAACTTGACTTCAGCACTTGGGTCGTTGCAAGTCTCCATGACGATATCCATTAAATCGCTCCCTTTTCTATCAGAACCATTCTCTTCATGTTTCTTCATGATGTCCTCAACCAATCTATCAAACTTCTCAAGTGCATTTTTGAGCTTTTTTCCATAGCCAAGCAGGTCAAATTTTCCCAAGTGGCCTAATATGTCTCCTGCACTTAATTTTCCTCCAACCACAGCTAACTCCTCAATCAACTTCTTGATCTTCTCTGCTTCGTCAGCATTCTCCCAGGGTCGTGTGCTCATCGCCATTCTACAAATTACATTGTTCATCATGGACATTAGTGGC